AAACGACAAAAAAAAAAAAAATAAAAAAATTTAGACTCATTAAGGGTATTTTGGATATTTTTCTTATCAATCAGTAAGATCCACACCAACTACACTCACCCACACCTAATATCTCCTTGCAACAGTGCTACCAACCACCCCTTCCCCACACCACCTACCCACCCATCCAACCTCTCTCTCTCTCTTTCACACACACACACAACTCACACATATTCGCCGGTCACGTTTGCCTATTTGTCTCATAATTGATCGCATTCGCACTTTATCAAATATCTTCGTTTGTAATTCGTACAGCATATCGCATAATTGTTTCGCACTTTATCGTCCGTCTGTCTCATAACTTATCGTATAATATATTTCGCACTTTATGTGAAAAAGTTAACATATTATTTAGCGGTGTGTAAAACTTATTTCGTCTTTAGCGCGAGATAAAAATAGCTATTTCCTCTATTTTAATTTGACATAGTCAAAATATTAAATCTTAATAGAATGAATAGTAGACTACAAATTGATACATCATAACATTACAAGCATCAAAATAACACCGAAATTAAAAGAAACACCAAAACTTCATAAAGGCTCGAGGAAAGTCTTCATTTATATATAGCCATTTAGGTAGTGTTTGGTTCGAGGGATTTGGAGGGGAGGGGAGGGGAGGGGATGGAAAATTTTAGTTTTCTCTTGTTTGGTTGAAAAATTAGGAGGGGAGGGAGAGGAAAATTTTAAGTAAATTTCTCTCCCCTCCCTCACTTTACCTCCCCTCCAAAATTGGAGGGATTTGGAAGGAAAATGTGTTAAGATGGTGTGAAAATACCATTTAGTCCCTACTTTCAATTGTTTGTTATTTTTTATCTTATTTCATTAAGGGTAAGTTTGTCATTTTAATTTTATTTTTCATTCCTTTAATTTTTGAACCAAACAAGGTTTACTAATTTCCCTCCCTTCCCTTCCTGAATAATCCCTCCAAACAAGGTAAAATTATTTTACATCACCTCCCCTCCCCTCCCCTCCCTTCCCCTCCATTAAAATCCCTCCCCTCCCTTCCCCTCCATTGAACCAAACACACCCTTGGGGAGGGGATGATGGTTAACAAGCGAGGTCCAAAAAACCCGCAGATGTAACAGCACGTGTGACGACGTAGAGAGAGCGAGCGATGGTGGTAGAGGTAGCGGAAAGGCCCTGTGTAGGAGCTTCAATCTCTGGTCTCATTCGTTCTTTAATGGCGACAACACACAATGCCATAATTTTTATCTCTCTTCGTTTACACTTTGGAGAACCATTCAATCTTCAGGTAATCCTTCTCTTTTTTCCACAAAAGCTTAATTCATCCATCAATTATAACCTCGTTCACGTTTCCTTCGTAAATCAATTTTACTCCTCGACTTTCCACAAACATTAACTCCTCCGATTGATGAACATTTGCAGGCGGCACGCATTGCCGTGAGGGCACAAAAAGGGGAAAGCAATTCTCCCCGGAAGAATTCGGCGGAGCTCAATTTTCTGGCGTTTCTGAACTTCCAACGCCTCAACGCCGGAAATTCCTCCGCAGAATGGCTTTACCACCATCGGGCTCAAGAACAAGCCCGCCACCTCCTCCTCCGGCTGACGACCAGCCAACCCCATCCTCCCCGCCACCAGATCCATCTCTGCCGCCTCCCGCCGCCCCATCCCCGGGCTCTGGTAGGAATCCGGCCTTCTCTCCGCCGCCACCCGGGGCAACTTCTGGCCAATCACCACCTTCGCCAGCCATCTCAACTCCGAGGTCAAATGCCAATAATGATGTCGGGCCCAGTCCCTCGTCGGGAGTGACGGTACGGAGTTAGTCGTAATTTCAAGGATCATTGGCGGCGAATAGTGATTCTCGCGCTTATGTTTGTCTGTATATTGTGCTTCACGAAGAAGAAGGACAAGAAACGGGAGTTTTATTTGGAGCAAGGTCGCCCTCCTAAAGGTGTGTGAATTTTACAAATGTGTTTAAATTTTCTAAGTAGCTAAAGTTGTATGTCATTTTATGTTTTCTGGAACGATCAATAATACAACTATGGTATTACGTTGGTCTCGGAGAAGAGGAAATAATCGGAAGGGGTAATTATTAGGATCTGGTTTAAAAAGAAAATAGTGTATATTCTATGCCTGAATGCTCCCTTTACGTCATTACAATTTACAAATACCCACGTCGAGCTTTGTATTTGTTTTACAATTTTCCTGTTCCTATGTACCAGTTGATGTGTTTTATATTATTTTCTTAATATATGTCTAGTTATAAATAAACAACCGAGTTCATTGAACTGAACTCAAGATTTTGTCTGATGGTATGAAATGATTGAATCAATGAGCAGAGTATATAATTTTTCAGAAACCAAATATATCAATCCTATACAACATAACGTAAACTATTTCATGCGTCTGTCAGGCCCCATCAAGAAAAAAGTCAGCCCAACCATTGACCCACACATGAAGATCCCTATCAACAACAGCAGTGAGGACAGGTCAAGTAGCCACTCAAACCACAACCCATTCCAGCCTTCTAATATGGGTGGCTATGGAGTTAACAGTTTTTGCACCTATGATGAGCTGGCGGCTGCAACTGGTGGGTTCTCTCAGGCCAATCTGCTGGGTCAGGGAGGGTTCGGGTACGTGCACAAAGGGATTCTGTCCAATGGGAAGGAAGTAGCTGTTAAGAGCCTCAAGTCAGGCAGTGGGCAAGGGAGAGAGCATCATTAGCCGTGTTCATCGTCGGTATCTTGTGTCCCTTGTTGGGTACTGTATTGCTGGTCAGCAGAGAATGCTCGTCTATGAGTTCGTGCCGAATAAGACATTGGAGTTCCACCTTCATGGTAAGTGAGTGTGGACGTTTTGTGATGTTTGACTGATTTTGTGTTGCTTTTATGGGTGTGACTATTGTATGTCTACAAATATTTGGAGTTCTTTTGAATTGCTTGTTGCTTATGATGGTGAAAACTTCAACACATGAGAACCTTCGCGGTGTCGTCTTATTATTTTTTGGAAACTTGATGGCTTCTATCAAACCTCAGGCTGGATTTTGTAACTATTCCTGAGTTTATTAACCAGAATAATCTTAGCTTTCTTTTAAATTTGAAGATACCCCTTGATAATTTTTTCTAATTTACAAACTTGTCTTCAAGAGGAAGGTATATTTAGCTATAACAAAATCTTGAAACCTCATGGAACTTTTGAAAATGCGGATCATATATTTTAAATTGACTTGATAGTGTGATTTCTTCAAGCCCAAGTTATTTTATGTCATGAGAATCCATCACAACTTCAAGTTATATTAGTTATCAACGAAAGGCAATTGTCGTTTTCTTATTCTTCTTGATTATAGGAGAACTCATATGTCTTGATTACAGGTATCTGGCTCCTGAGTATGCAGCTAGCGGCAAGCTAACAGTAAAATCTGACGTATTCTCATTCGGGGTCATGCTCTTGGAAATAATCACCGGCCGTCGACCAGTGGATCACAGCAATAAGTCCATGGATAGTTTAAGCTTAGTAGACTGGGTTTGTTTTCTAATATCAGAAGCTGTTGCATTTGAACTAATTAGCATTTTTTTTAATCTTCATTATTTGCATTTTCACAGGCAAGGCCACTCGCAACTAAAGCATTGGAAACAAGGGATTACAGTGAATTAGTTGATCGACGTCTCGAAGATAACTATGTTCCCCATGAGATGGCTCGTATGATCGCCTGTGCTGCTGCCTGCATTCGCCATTCAGCGAAAAAATGCCCACGCATGAGCCAGGTAATTGTTTTTCTATACTGAGTAAGAACCAAGATTTTTGTTTTTATATCAAGCATCACGCCTATTAACAACTGCTATTTATAAATGTGCGAATCTCAAAGGAGATTTTTACAATTTTGAAAGACAACTAAATTTTTTTATTTGAGCTCAAGAGTTGTTATATTTGGCTTCACTGCAAAAAATTGGTCATATAATGAGAGAATACCAAATCTGATCACATTT